CTGATCTTTATTTCCTGATTTTTCAACTTCAGCTGCCAAACGAGGCACAGCTGCAGTTAAAAAAACAAGAAAAGAGGGCTGTTTCAAAGGCTGCTTCTCGGCACACAGCATGCTAATGACGATTTACAGGCGCAAGGCTCACAGAGGGCAGGGAAGCTCATAAATCCCGAACTGGTAGTTAACCCTGTCATATCCCACCCCTGATTAATAGGTACTACTTTGATGGGAAGATGAGAGATTTCCATGCATCTTTTGTGTATAGCCATGCTCACAGAAATTGTCACATGATCACGGAAATTGTCTTCAGACAATGCTGGCTCTCCCAGCCAAGAAACAGAGATGAACAATGTGCCCTAGAGTCAGACATAACTTATAAGAAACCTTTGCCTTTTTGCTTTCATCAGGGATAGTTATACTGACCTCATTTTTACATTCAGGCCATCGTATCTTACCAATCTAAATTAGAAGATTATAATTTCCTCTTCATAACCATGCCAGGGATGAAGGCAAGGAGGAACTCAAAGACTGTTTCATGTTCATTTCCTGAATCAAATGGTGATTTAAGCTAGGTTAAATCTAAACTACACCCCCCCCCCAGGTGTTATTTACCATAAGCCTAATAAGAACAGTGTGTGGTAAAAATTAGGCACATAAGAGAAGGAATGTATAAAAACAACCCCCTGAAAATTCCTATTAAGCTCAAAGCTTCCTGAAAAGCGTGTTCTTCATTAGACAATCCATCCAAACATAAAAGATCGTTTTCTAGCTTGTCTGGGATGATAAGGGTAATATTAGGGTTGTGCAGCATTTTAGATCAGAAAGGGAAAAATGCTTCAAAGCATACACAGTGCACATATCACCTGTTAGCAGCTGCTTAAACTTGCCATGGTTTCCTTCTTCGATTGTGCTGCAATGAGGGGTTAAGAAAGTGGTTTATGATTCCAGAAAAAGATGTGACTGCTTTCATAAATAGATGTACTGTGTGACTCTTCCTACACACTCCAATAATCTTTCTGCATTTGAATCTCTAGAGCTCCATAGCCTAATAGACAGGCAAGGTTTGGAGGGTACAAACCTGAAATCTCACACAGCAAAAAGGCAACAAGACAAAGACTGATCCGGCATTTAACATGATGCATTTAGCTGGAGGTATTTTAACCTGATGCAACTAATACTTTGATTGAAAAGCTTCTAGTTATCTTAATTTCATGACCTCTACATACATACAAATATACATATTTCTAGGAAATAAATTAGATTGCCAAAGATTTTAGAATGTATAGTAAGTAACTAACAAGAACACAGCTTCTAAACATTCTAGGATCATGCTGTTGAAATTTGGTGGCAATGCAATTGAATTTTCTTTTTGAAATTTTTATTTAAAAAAATGAAGATAAAAATGGCAAGCCAACCACTCTAATTTCCACTCTTAATCCTTTCCCACAACCCCCTCCCCCTGAAAATTACATACTATAGGAAATTTGGCAGCAAAAATTAAGGAATTTTATTTTATTTTATTTTGTAATGGGAGTATGAGGCCCTAAAAGGTAAAATACTCCCTTCTCCACCCTTAACTACACTCCAGCTCTAATTTAGAAAAACACATACTAAAATCACACTGCCAAATTTTAGCAGCAAAGTGGATTAATATTAGTAATACATTTTAGATCATTTTGAAGAGTATGGAGGTGGTGAAGGACAAAAATAACAGGCATTTTTCTGCTGTTGTTCTAACCATCTCCAAAGTCATGAAAAAGAATCTGATTTTTCCCCCCAGTGCAATACCATTCCATTACCAGAAAGATCCCTATAACCTTTCAACAGGTTGTTCGGCTGAGTTGTAGCCTTCACACCATTACAAGCTGCCATCCTAAACAAGTTGGCTTCACTAATATTTTAATGTTCCGATTCAATTTAGTTTGATTGGAATATTCCATGGGATTGTTCCCTTCTCTAGTAAGAAACAAAATTTTAAAACCTTGCCATTTTTAAAAATACATAGATAAAACACGTTAGAAGTTCTCCAAACTGGCATTCTTGATTTATCCGATTATAAATCTTAGTCCCAATCAGCATGATAGCAATAGCACTTAGACTTATATACCGCTTTATAGTGCTTTACAGCCCTCTCTAAGCGGTTTACAGCGTCAGCATATTGCCCCCAACAATCTGGGTCCTCATTTTACCCACCTCGGAAGGATGGAAGGATGAGTCAACCTTGAGCCTGGTGGGATTTGAACTGCCAAATTGTAGGCAGCTGGCTGCAGAAGTAGCTTGCGGTACTGCACTCTAACCACTGCACCATAGAGGCTCCTATATTATTATCATTAGTAATAATTTGAAAAATATCTAGGAGTATCATTCTGGTATGTCTAACCTTTGTTCTGTGTCAGTCTTGTTCTACCAAATAAGTTGAAATGCCACATCTTCTTCTTAAAAATCTCCCTTAATATCCTACTCAATAGAGAACAATAGCATGAGACAGGACCTTTGAGGATTGTGTAGAATTCCTGCCAATTAAATAGTTGTGAGATAGATTGAAGCTTTTCAAGATTGATGACAGGTCTTAGTTAACTGCAAAGAAAATAACTGCTCATGAAATGTCTTCCTGTAGGTGACAAAAAAAAACCTCATGAAATCCAGTCCTTCTTAAACAGTCTGTTTGATCATTCTGTACATCATCTAAGTAAAGCAATCATTAAATTTTATTAACACTGATTTGCAAAGAAAAGCAGACTTAATTCTTCAAAACTAGATCTGATTTTAATTTGTTTATTTGACGCTGCCTGGAAACAAGTCTATACCAGACTTGGTGCAGAGGTGGTATTCAGCAGGTTCTAACCAGTTCTGGAGAACCAGTAGCGGACATTTTTAATAGTTCAGAGAACCGACAAATACCACCCCTGACTGGAGATTTTACAGTATCCTCCCCTGCCACGCCCACCAAGCCACACCCACAGAACTGGTAGTAAAAAAAATTTGAATCCCACCACTGGTCTACATCAATAAATGCATGCATTGACAGATTCTTATCAAACTGTTTTAAAAAATCAAGCTTCAAAAGTTAATGAAAGGAATATAGGGATATATTACAAACATTGATAGGAGGAAGGTAGTACAGTTGTGAAATTGTGAAATTTCTTAGGCATGATCTACATTTGCCCAACATGAAATTATAGCAATTAGACAAGAACCAGGAACACCAGTTCACAATTGACCTTATACCTATCAGAGTAATGTACCTGTCCAGGCATTACTTTTTGACATATCCAGACTCATCAAAGGGTTGTTACGAGCAGTGGTGGGATTCAAATTTTTTTTACTACCGGTTCTGTGGGTGTGGTTTGGTGGACGTGGCAGGGGAAGGATACTGTAAAATCTCCAGTCAGAGGTGGTATTTGCCAGTTCTCTGAACTACTCAACATTTCTGCTACTGGTTCTGCAGAACTGGTCAGAACCTGCTGAATGCCACCTCTGGTTAGGAGGCAAAAATTACTAAGAAGAGAGGCCATAGAACAGAGATTCTCCACCACCATGCCATCTTATTTAATTAATCAGTGGCTTTAAAAAAACTTAGAATATTTGCAATTGCCTTTGGGTTAAAGTAGAAATAGGGCAAGTCCACTTTTCTTTACTCCACCCATTTTAAAGCATAGATTATATATGCTTCAAGCTTGTTTTACAACTCATGATCTATGAACTCAGATAAGAAGTATAGTGAAAGTACTTTTAAGTTTCAGCTTAATGACTGAGGATGCCCCCAAAAGAAAGGTGGGGAAGCAGATGCAAAAGACACAGTTGTAATTCTTTAATTCCTCCCAGAGTAAACAAGGGGAACCTCCCAGAATGGAATACTCTATGCAAATTTTAATGTGTTTCAAGGTTGAACAGAGGCACTGAAAAACAATCCAGAGATTAAACTCTTGGGAAGAAAATAACACTATACCATATAGCTTGAGAGAAGACCAAGAAGGAAAAAATATTGATGCTAGAAATTCTACAAATAAGGAATGTGAAAACCTGCATCCTGATCCCAGTGGCAGGCCATTTCCTGTTCCCTAAGCAGGCTAAGAAGGGCTCTCTTAAGTCAAGGATCCACAGCGCCACCCATTGCATCCTATCCTTTTGGGCAAGGATGAGAACTCCAGGCTTGGGAGTGGGTTGGGCAAAAGGTCACTATTGCAGCAGGGCTTCAGCTGGATTTGTATTTCAAAAAGCTTCCAAATCCCTTTCTAGGATGAGCCCCACCCACCTTCAATTCAGTGGCTGAGATGAGGAATGAGGTAGGTCTTCTCTACCCAACATCTCTGCCCCCCCCCCCCAAGTATTTTCAAAGGATTAAGCTTGAGGCCGAGGGAAGCCAGGGACAAAACCTCTTGAGAGCAAAATGTCCTGGTGACCATCAATGATTGGTCAGTTTCCAAAAATGTCTTAAAGCCCTGCCTCCCATAGTAACCATCGCCCATTTCTTGGCCTTTAGCGGGAGAGGTCTTATAATTATAAGCACTAGCTTAGCAGGAGGCCAAGAGTATGCTGGCTGGCTGAGGAGTCTGACATCTCATTGTCTTAGCAAGCAGGTCCACACCCACTTTTCTGCCAGTTACAGGGAAGATACTTCTACCCCTCGTTCCACGTCTTGATCCGTAGGGTGGGACCCTTAAGTCACCTTCACACATTTTCTTTCTTCACAACTCACATTTAGGATTTGTGTCTCTCAACCCCCTCCCCCCACCGTTAGACCCTCAAGTTTGGGTCTTCCTAACACTGTAGGCCATTTCCCGACCGCCTCGAGGTACCCCACCCATTTTCTTGCACCCAAATATCGGGATAGCGGCTACGCCCACCACCCAGCTTCCTGCCTCCCAATCACTTCCGATTAGGATAGGCAGCCTGTTATTCGCCGCCGCGAAGCAAAAATTGCTGCCAGCCACTCCCAGAGTCTGAATCCTCGAGACGGGCTGGCCACGGCGTGGTAGCGCCGCGGAGAGCTCTTTACCCACCTTTGGGCTGGAGACGCCCTCGCCCACGGCCAGGACGATTCCCGCCGCCTCCATGCCAGGGCTAACGGGGGGCGAGGGAAGCCTGTCGTAGACCCCTTGGCGAGCCAGCAGGTCAGCAAAGTTGAGCCCACAGGCCCGGACCTGCACGCAGATTTGGCCAGCGCCCGGACTGGGTTCCGCTTGAGGCAGCTGCCGAATCTGCATTTTCACCTTCTCGTAACCACCAAAGCCGGTGAGCACCAGTGCCCTATACTGGCGACCAGCAGCAGCGGTACTGGTAGAAACTGCGGGAGCCTCCTCCGACGTCCCCGCAGCAGCCTTTCCCTCCTCGCCAGTCGCTGGTGCCTCCGCCACTGCTTCTTCGTTCTGCTGCTGCTCCGCTGGAGGAGCAACAGTGCTGGGTTGAGGGGCTCCCGCATCTTCCCCGGCAGTTTCTTCTCCGGACATGGCAGCTTCTTGGGTACTAGCAGCTATGGTATGCCTACACTAAGAGGAGGAGGAGGAGAAGAGAGAGAAGGCGCGGCGGACCAGATGCGCTAAACCGCTGTAAGCCGCCTGCAAAACCAGGAGCTGGAGGTTAACGCTAGTTGGGTCTAACTTAGTATGCTGAGTTGGAAAACGCGGAATGGAAGACAGATTTGATGGCTCCACCTAGAAAGACCTGCCCGCCTGACTTTTCGTCAGTGGATCCAATACGCCCACCGTCTACTTGTCCAGGAAGCGAGGCGGAGACTAGAGTAGGGTTGGGTGTGCCCGGTAGAAACAAAGTGAAGCGCATGGTTGTTTTTTCCATAGTTTCCCTGAGCGACCATTCCCAAGTAAAATCGCACGTAGCATCGCAGATGTACCACCAGATTTAATGCGTGGGTTGTTTTTTTTACCCTCAGTGTTGTATGAGTCAAACTTCTAAGCAAATACGCATGAAATGGCAACCCTCCTTTTGGGTTCACTTCTTTTGAGCTGAGTGAATTTAGGAAGCATGCATAGAATAGCCTCCCACTCGCCCTCTTGTTTTCCGGCATCTTCTTCTCTGTTATGGTAATAATTTATCACTATTCAATATCCTTTTCTTCCTGCTGTTTTTCCTAATTTCATCACTATCACCATCTCTTTTTCCTTCTAATTTCCTTCAGAACAGATCAGGAGCACAGCAAGCTGCATTTATCTTGGGATTGATAAATGTAAATTTGCACTGTTGGTGTCCAAAGATTCAGATACAAGTTTTACCAGCCCAAGTTGAATTTGGGAACTATATGTAAAGCATGAATTTCCGTGGTGGGATTCAAAAAATGTTTACTACCAGTTCTACGGGCGTGGCTTGGTGGGCATGGCATTCTTGGTGGGCATGGCAGGGGAAGGATACTGTAAAATCTTCATTCCCTCCCTACCCCACTAACCTGCTTTCCAGCTCTGTTCTCTTGTGCACAGCAGCAAAAGAAGATCCCAATCAGCTGGGACTTGGGAGGCAGAGAATAGATGGGGCCAGGGGCCAGTCAGAGGTGGTATTCTGAAGTACTCAAAATTTCCTCCATCAGTTCTGCAGAACTGCTGAGAACCTGCTGAGTACCACCTCTGATGAATTTATCGTGACTGGGTCAGCAAGCCATAGAGATGTGGTTTATACATTATCACTAAGTCATAAACAATGGTTTACCTAAAATGACAAACATATGCAGAGCTGCATGCAGCCATACTTATCTGAGTCTATACATAGTGCTATGCCACAAACCACTGAGCCTGGCCATTACTTCATCTATCACTACCAGATCAACTGGCAGCAGCCTTTCAGGTTTCTAGGACTGAGTGTTCCAGCCAGGGGCTTCAATTTTTTTAGCAAGGGGTTCTCTGCCCTAATGGCTGGGTGGGTGTGCTTGGCTAGGTGGGCATGTTACTGGGTGGGTGTGGCCAACTCGACGTCGATTCTTTGCCCTAAAAAAAAAGATAATATACTAAAAAGTGGTCTATTATTTTGTGCATTTAATACTTAAATAAAAGACTGGGTGAAACCAGGCTTAATAGCAGTGACTGTGAGAGGGATCTTGGAGTCTTAATGGAGCTTCTGATGAGTTACGTGATTCTTATTTGGGAATTAGCCCTTGACAAGCACTTTATCTAGCCTGACACTTTTATGAGGTGTGAAATGCTCTTGGCTGAATGCCCAGAAAGGAAAAAAGCCGAAAAGGTATGCATTTATTATTCTAGGCTGTTTGTCTTTTTGAGGTTATTGGGGGCTCTCCGAGCCCCACAGAGTTTTAGCTAGGGGCTCCCCCAAGCCCCTGTGAGCCCCCAGCAGCCCACCCCTGGAACTTCCAGCCCTTCCTGAAAATACTGACAATTGCCACTGGGACTTTCTGCGTGTAGAAGAATTCTATACAATTTTCCTTTCCACTCTAATTTCACCACTTGTAATGCTCTCCCCAGAGAGGTCCCCAGAGAATTGATGTTTTCATTAAATGTAGACACTAGAGCTAGATTAAGAGATTTAGGAACAAGCTGATGGACCAAAACACTGAAGTGATTTTGTGACAAGGTGCCATATGTCACATTGCAGATAAAAATCATTGGATAATGATTTTCTGAAGAGGGGGAATAAAACTTTTCATAAAGATAACGTAGAGCAGTAAGATAGTGGGAATAAGACAATGCAATATTTTAATTTTGTGGATGTGGGTGTGAAATCTAGGTTGCAGAAATCCAGATCATACCTTAAATTAAATGTATGTTCATTCTATTTTGTAAGATAGAAAATCCTCACAGCAAGATTAGACAACTGCTTTAAACACAAATATTATGTTCACACTCCAAGCTCCCCTATTATTAAGCAATTAATTGGTGACCACTCACAGCTGACAATAAAAAGTCAGTTTAGGTTTATCACAAACACAACAGGTTTCATGTACTGTACAAAAGCATGAATTGTTGACTTCTGGTTGACATCGTGGTGAGAGCAGCTGGAAAATAGCAGAGCTCTGCTAGGCTCCATGAAATGTAGCCACCAACTGCTTGCTGGGAGATCCTATAAGGTGGTGAAGAAAGGAGTGGCACTTTGTCAATCACGAGGAAATCGCAATTCCCTTGATGATCCAAAGAAAGCTCTCCCGAACGGCAGCAGGGATGACGACCATTTTGATCAGTCACAAGTGGGACAACCGGGAAACTAAGATCTTGTGCTGGAGCGATGTGTGGACAAAGCAGTGAAACTGGGTGAGATAACTTCCAATTGTTTCCTTAGAGTAACAATAATCTCCTAACGTTAAGAAATGGTGATTGGATTTATGGAGAAAGATTAAAGACTAAAAACTAAAGAGGAAGATTAAAGTCCTAAAAATAAAAAAAACTAAAGGATGATTTAAAAGATAGAAAGCCTGGAAAAGCAGAATAACATTGTGAAAAGTGATTATTGAGAGAAATTGCTTTTTTAAACTTTATTTTTAGCCCCCCTGATTGGATGACAATAAGTTGTTTTCGACTTTTACACTCTGTTAAATGTTGGAATTGGAAGCAGGAGAACCATCTACAGGAGGAAGAAGATTTATTGCAACGTGTAAAACTCAAAGAAAAGTGAAGAAAGGCGAGAAAGTAAATAACAACTGGAAGGCTTCTTGACCTTCACTTTATCTTAGTAGACAATTTGGAGAAGAAAAGCAATAGAAGAGGGAAAAGAAGAAGAAAAAGAAAAAAGATAAATAAGACTTTAAAATCTGAACAAATGGAAAGGTGTAAACTGAAAATTATAAAGACTGAAAACACAAATCTATAACACTTAAAGACTAAAAATTTAGGGGACTTGGAGGAATAATTTTGGGATTGACCAAATTTTATTAACAATTGTTTTTTTTCTGAACTTTTTAGATATTGGGATACTGGAATATTAGAGGCATATTAACAGTACAAAATGACCCAGCAGGAGACAGTAAAGTTCTATGAGGAAATGTTAGAAATGGCGGAAAAAGAATCATAAGGATTTGATGGGAATATTTAAAGATAAATATGTGAAAGTAGAAGGCCCTCAACAAATGGTGGGAAATGATTAATATAAAACACAGAAGACAGATGAGACAAAGCAAAATAAATTACAAGAAGATAAAAATAATTTACAAGCAAATAAAAACACTGAAAAGACAGTAACAGTAAATATTAAAAATCAAATAGATAATCCCTTAAGAGCTTACATTAGAATAGAGAGAAAAAGGAAGATTTTCCAAAAATACTGAAAGGGTTATGGATGGATATTCAAAAGATGCAGCAGAAGGAGATAAAGGGTAAGGCAGAGGGGTCAATTAGTCTGTGCAAAAATGCTAGAAAGACATATAGAATTCCAAGAGAGAAATATAAAAGAATCACCAAAAAAATCAATAAATGATTAAATTCTAAAAAGGCTGAGAGATGATGAATAGAGACATAATATCTTGCAATATAGTAATTATATTAAAAACCAATAGAAATAAGGGGGAAGTTTAAACTGGGAAAATAGTAGCACATATATATATATATATATTAGAATTTATTATAACCATACATATATATAGATTAAGAGGTAGAAGACTAGGATTAGGTATATCTAAATATATTATTATAACGGTGGAAAAATATACTGGAATACACAGTTTTCAAGGACTATAAATACAGGAGACCTAGCGATATAATCTGGGGATTGATTAAATCTTATTAACAATTGGTTTTATTGGTGTTTATAGATAATTAAGATATTGAAAATGTGGTAGAACACTGTGTGATATTTATAATATTAAAACATTAGTGACTTAACGGGTTAATAAGTATATTGTATGAAGAAATGTTATTGATGTTTACATATATTTTTGGAGAAAGTAATAAAAATCATAAAGAGAATAGTATTGTTTAAAGATAATGAAGTGAATATAGAAGAACCCCAACAAACAGAATAAAGTACAAATTGGGAAAATAGTATAATATATACTGATATATAAAAGAATATATTATAATGATCATATCAAGGTTAGAAGTTGGAGGATAAAAACACTGTATATGTAATTATATTATTACTGTCAGCATTGTGTGAAAAATATATTAACCCAGTCATTACATATCCACAAAAATGTTGGTTGTTAAAGGAAAACTACAAATAAAACACATACCAAAAAAGCACAAATTGTTTATCACAATTAGCTGGGTTTACCCAATTTACTAAACACATACAAATCACAGACAAATCGCATTAGTTTAGTGAAAGAAGCCAGCCTATATATAACAGATGACAGATAATTAGAGCTGGAAGGGACCTTGTAGGTCATCTAGTCGAATCCCATTTCTGACAATGGCAGTCCAATCTCTTCTTGAAAGTCTCAAGTGATGGCGCTCCCACAACTTCCGAAGGCAAGCTGTTCCATTGGTTGATTGTTCTCACTGTCAGAAAGCTTCTCCTTCTTTCCAGGTTAAATATCTCCTTGTTCAGTTTCCATCCATTATTCCCTCTCTGGCCTTCAGGTGCTTTAGAAAATAGCCTGACCCCTTCCTCTCTGTGGCAGCCCCTCAAATATTGGAACACTGCTATCATGTATCTGAAGATTTGATTTAACTATATTGTCCTCGAAACCTGAATATTTGTCCCTCTCATCTTCCCCATATCCTGTTTGTTTTTATACAAATAAATGCCATTAGCAACCAAGGAAATTTTACCATTCATATGGCCATTCAATTCCTGTTCAAACACTGAGGCTCTTTCTGTTTTAAAGAACAGAAGGCAGCTTTAAAAAAAAGCTGTATAAATACTCAGAAATACATTTGGAGAACATCTTCATGAACTGTGTTTCCTTATTTAGTATTGGGCTTGCGGATCTCTGGATCTCAAAGCCAAGGTAATAGGTCT